GCGGCACTCAGGGGCTAACTAACTGCAGATGCTCCTACCAGGAGCAGGCCAGTGCTCCGCAGGATGAAACGCAATCTAGTCCTGCACCATCTTCACCATAGTGTGCTTGAGCCCACTGTTGTTAATTCCATCCACACAGTTTTGGCTAGCTAATTTTGGGAAGTAGACTACCAGGCCTTTCTTTCTAGTCTTAGTCTAAGAAGCTTCAATGAGGCCAGTCTAGCATGGGTGACCCTGCTGGTATTTGAAATGCCAGTGCTGTAACTTTACCGACAGCAACACAGTAACATGCAAGCTCCCTGACGGGCCAGCAGAGAAGGGTGGGAGCGGCGAACAAGCCATGAACAGAGGAATGGAAAACCACACTGGTGGGGCCCAGGGTCCGGCTGGAGCTCAGGCAGCTTGCCAACATCAAGGTCACCCTTGGCCATCTACAGGGATAGCAAGTCTGACCCTCCCTCGCATACTCGTACAGGCGAAGCTCAGTCACATGCACTAACTCAGCTGGGTCCAGGGATAGCCAACCCTGAGACACGGGGTGATGAAGTGGTGCCCCAGACTGCCCAGTTCATGGGGCAGAGGAGAGGAGGGTGTGGCACCACTCCTCAACTACCATCCATGTCCCTGAAGGGCCACACAGGGGCTCTGAGTAGAAGAACTGGAGTTCCGAGTCTACCCTAGGGCACCTCTGAAGAAAGGCCCGGCAATCTATTTCTGAAGAGTCCGCCTTGGAAATCCCACAGAGTGCAGGAGCCACAAACACTGCGGCCCCAGCCCGGAGCCCCAGGGTCGCCTCGGCAGCATCTAAGACCTAACCCCAGTAAACGGCAGTATCACCGCAGCAGCATCACGGGATGAAACCAAAACACCAAACACACAGCAGGACAGACTTGACCTCGTGGGTTAATTTTAGCAAAATTATACATTACTCACATTTCCAGCTCATTTTGCTGGTTCCCGGAGCAGACAGACAGACACTGTTTTCCCCATGTCTGCCCGTGAATCATAGCGAGGCCTGGCTGCTCACTAGAGCATCATGTGCTTCCAGGGGCACCAGCCCCAACCCCACATCCTGCCCAAGCCACTATATCGTCCACTCCCTCCTGTCTGCTCCCAGGAACGCATGCCCACCTTCAGCAGCAGCTGCACTGTCAGGGAGAGAAATAAGAAGGGGGCCAAACACTCCAAAACGTCCCCCTACAACAAAGCCCCTGGAGGGTGCACACCATCCCGAACAACCTCTGCGTGGACAGCCAGGTTGGGCAAAGGCTACCTGGAGTCCAAGCAGGGAGGCCTCCCCGGAGGACCCATCCGGAGAAGCTCTGTCCGGCACATCCACCTGCACAGCCTCGTGCTCGCTGCCCAACGAGGCCTCGGGTGTGTATTACTGGCCACACAATGCCATTACCTACTGATGGCCACCCAGGAAACAGAGCTGAGCCTGAACTCCTGGGGGGTTGGGGGCAATGGGACGTGGCCCCAGGACGAAGCGATGCTTCTGAAGGCCATGCCCACTGTGTCTCGCTGTGGCGGTAGCACCTGGATGTCGCACAGTCTAGGTGAATT